AAGACTACGTTGGGTTAACTACGTTGCGCCACACGTGGCTATACGCGGCAAGAGCTATGGAGTTTGCCAGCTCGGGCAGATCAGAGCTGTGACCTGGAACTCTCTTGTGGCAAGGCGATCTCCCAAGGCCCCTGCCGTAGCGCCCACCAAACTGTTCGTTCAACTTCACTACCTGCCCGCTCGGTGTTGCAAAAGTGCAGGTGGCGAGAGCCGCCTCATGAGTTTTCCCTCTGAGCAGTGCATAGAACAGATTCGAAGAGCCGACTTTTCGCCACTCGCGGAGCCGAGCTCTGGCATCGGACATGAAGTCGTCGCGCAGGCCTGGCCGAGGGGCTTTCGCTTGGAGAAGATTCGCTCATATCCGCACGTGGGAAAAGTGATACATGCTAGTCCATCCTATGAGGCATGTTTGACGTTCAGCTGGGTCCAGTTGCACAACCAAAGCACGAACCAGCAGTGGCACTGTTTCGGTCGGAGAATGTGACAGGGCATCTGCCACGTGACCTCAGGTGGCGAGCATCTTCTGCTCACATTTACACATGAAGCGTACGAGTATCAGTTCGCGAGCTAGGGAGGCGAAGCCATCTTGTCGGGGCTCAGACGACGTCTCACCCCAACAGATACGTTCAGCAAAGCCGCTCAAAGTGAGGGATGTTGGCTGCAGACTCTGCCGCTTCAGATCACCAAAAAGGCGCCTTAATTCCAAGAGCACATGCTGTCACGGCCAACAGTCTGTGCTAGTCTGCGGACTGGGGGGGAGCAGCACATTGACTGACGATTTTGCAAAGTGGAGGCGAACCAGTTGAAAGCTGTCCCCTTGGAGGCTGTGGCGGTTCTCGATTGGAATGTCGGGTCCTGTAGTCACTGTAGGTCACTGCCATGATCGACCTGATTCCCGCATCCGGAAGAGGACCGCGTGATCCATGGTCACCATACACAAGACGCTTATCTGTTCGCGGGTGCCAAGTAGTGCAATCGAAGGCGCAGGACTTGTTCAGAGAGCCCCGGGCGAAGGCATGCCAGCATAGCCTGCAGCGCTTGAATTGCAATTCCACCTGCTTTCATGGACTTTTTTGGACATCAAGGCGGCCAACACAGGAGACGAACAAAGGGAATGTGAACAAAGTAGACGTGCAGATGAGGCCGTCAACAGCCGGAGTCAGCTTGACGAGGAAGCGTGGCATGAACATGGAACTCTTGATTTGCCCAAGTTGATCGGCTGACACTGACAACTACAAATCTTAAACAAAAGGCTCCGGGTTTTCAGAGCCAAGGCCCAGCCCAAGAAGCACGGCGCTGGAAGCGAGTTCGGCGCCCTCTGTTTTTTCAGTGGTCGGCCATGTATTCTCCAATAAACCCATTCGCTAGTTTGGAGTCCGTTGCAGAATCTGGACTGATTGTGAGAGCAATGGGCCAGGATGGTCGCTGACTATGGTTGATCAATAAGGCTGGGCAGCGGTGTTCAAAGCAATGACGGAACTCGGCAGTCGCTGAGTACCTTCTGTTTTGCAAGACATGCGAGACAGCTGCATCAGGTGCAAAAAGGCTCAGGACTCAATTTTTGCTGGTGAACTCTGGAATCACGCCTGGGCCCAATAGAACCGAGGCTAGTGCCACTTGCAGGTTAACCCTGTCCTTAGCCCTGAACCGCCCCCTAAACCCTGAGCCCTATAAGAAACCCAGTATTCCCCTGCTGGTGTACGGCATTCCGGCCCAAACGCAGTGGTGCACTGCGGTCTTTGCAGCAATGGTCGCAACGATTACATACTCTTGTGGAGTGAACTGTTGAAATGGATATCTCTGTTCCGGCGTGTTGTGACTGTCGGCCGAGTACCCATGGCTCGCAGTAGCTGCGACACGCTCCGCCAGGAGCCTGTCCGCCGGCAAACTTCTAAAACCTTGACGAGGGTCAGAGCAGGGGCTGTTGAAGGAGCATAAGAATTTACTTCTTGCCTTTCCAACAGAACTTGGAGATATCGTGAGGCCCGAACAGCCAAGGACTGACCACAACATACAAGGCAGCAATGTCAACCCATAGTCTAAGGGTCCAACTTTCCATGAACCAACCCCTGCCATCGTTGTCCTCCTTTAGGCCCTTTGCACAGTAGATGTGCATTGATTACAGTGCCTTGTTGCTGCATGGAAATGAGCTGCTTGCGATTATTTCGTCATTGCTCAGTCAGTGCAGCCGTGCAACGCAACCGGTCTACAAACTGACCCTGATTTCGGCGGCGAGTTTTTGAAGTTTAAACCATGTACTATCGCATGTAAATGCCATCGACAGCTTGCATTCAAAGGCAACGCTACCTTTCACTCTCACCAGCTGTTCGGACGATGTTCACCTTCCAAGGCACCGCGGAGTACGAGACCTTGGAATGTTTCTTGTCAAAGTTACAGAATGACGGCGCATCTCTCTGCTGCTCTCCTGGGTCCCGCCTAGCGGTTTAGCAACGGCACGAAGACTCGACTAGGCTACATCCAGCACGTAACTCAAACACGAGCAGACTAGTATGCTAGCTTCCAGTCAAGCACAGCTACTCAGTCTCGCATAGATATAGCTCAAGCCAGTGCGGCTGCATCGTCTAGTCTAGGTTGGCCTGCCCTCTTGTAACTTGGAAATTTGCCCGTTCAGAGGGGCCTGCCCCTTGGAAGTTGGAAGACTGCCTGGATCACCGAATTTCGGGGTGCGGCAGCACCGTTCGGGGGTGCCCTGCTGCCGAGGTTGATGCTCTTGGCGAGGTGTAGCTGGACCACCAAAGTTCACAAAAGCTGTCAGCCGGGACGCTGTTGAAGGCTGCATCTCCGCATCTATACAATAGCGCAGAAGCTGCAGGGCCCGGCACCAAGACTGGACTCCTCTCAGGTGCGGCCACAACGGCAGAGGCTGCTCAATGCACGATGTTTTTGGGAGTCTCTCATGATGCAGGTGGCGAGAAGCATGAGCTCCGAGTTTGGCTTGGCACTCGTTCTGTGTCCTGCGTGGATGCATGCACTCATCGCTGAGCTGAACCTGAGCTGCTTGGGCCGTGAAGCTTGCGGCTAAATTCTGCGCTTGTCCGTCTCTCTGTGTCACTATGTCGCCGCAGCGGAATTGCGACACCGGATGACTTGGATTTTCTTGCGCAGTGCCGGAGTAGGGGCAGGCCAAGGCACTCAAGCCTCACATGCACACGAATCCACATCTTGAGCTGTATAATTATGAGACTGAAGACAAAACAGCATCGCCATCCTTGCAACCTTCATCATACCTCTGAAACCTCTGTGAAGTTTGAAGCAAGCAGCAGCCATAGGCCGCTTCGCTGCGAGGCGCCAAGGATGTGGAGCGCACGCTGCCAGGGACCAGCCTTCTCACAGGCCTCAATTGAACTGATGAGTCACTGATGAGGGGTTTTCAACTTCAAGGGTGCAGGCTGCATGGAGGTTAGTCGGACATGTGCAGTCACATCCAGTCCCCTGTGGCCGCATGGCCCACACAGACTGTGGGAGATTCCTTCTTCATAGTTCTCGGCGGCCCTGCGAGCATGAAGGATAGCCTGATGGTGTAGTTTCACAAGTTCCCTTGAAGATAAACATCCCGATACTCAAGTACGTATGCAATGCAGGCAAGCAGATAAGCATGACCATGACCGCCAGGTTCACAGTGCAAGAAGCGCAAGCAAGTAGAGTGTAGCGCACCTTTCTCTCCAGCTTTGCAGGTTCCACTCACTCATTACTTCTCATTACTTTATTCCCTTCTTCGGTCGTTTCATATCAGATTTGAGGCCATGTGGCTCTTCATCCACAGAGGCCGGTCTGTAGCTCCGTCGTTGTTGTTGTTGTTGCTGTTAACTAAAGTCTAAAACAGAACCGATGCTGGGCTATGCCTGGTTCTTGACAACATGACATGCGCTAACCCCATGCCCCATGCTTTAGTCAGGCATTTCTCAAGGTCGGGGGCTCTTGCAGGTTGAAGTCGACCAGGAGCTCAGGGCAAGAGGGCAGGTCCATCACTTCACGCCCAAGCATATCTCCGTTTTTGTGCGGCCACGTGGCGCTGGCGACAGCTGCCCAGCTCACCTCACCGACTGACGAGGAGAGGTCTAAACTAGAACACACCGGATGCAATGCACCTGTAGCTTCCGTGAAAACATAGAGTAGCAGTAGCCTCAAACGATCTAGCTTGGCTTGTGGGATTCTGTATAAATCTTAATGGGGCATGATGTCCAAGGAGTCCACGTGGCATCGCTGGGTTTCCACCGACATTCCCCCGCCATTCCCAAGATGCGAAAAGAGAGCTGCCACTGCAGACCCTTCCTGAGCTCTGTCGTGAAAGCTTTTTCGGGGCCTGTACATTCTGTCCCACATGAGCCATAGCAAACATTGCCGCTTGAGATGTACCTTCGTGATCCCTCACGCTTGCTTCAAGCCGAGGACACGATGCACAAGCTTCTGTCGCGGTTTCTGCATAATACAATCGCAGAAGGAAGCCAAAGGTCTCGCATGCTGAGATGGCCGGGTTGAAGCTCGCAGCACCAATGTCACCAGGCCTTGCAGCATGCAGTGACTCCGTCTTCGTGTCTGCAAGCTGTAACATGCTAAGTGCAAGCATGCTGACTATAATAGACGGTGCAGTCCACCTTCCATGAAAGTGTCTGAAAATGTGAAGCGTCTGTTCCCAGCCGCTCGATTTCTCCTCGGCGAACTGAGCATTTCCAATCCACACGCCTGGTTGGTCGACTGCCGACTTCAGCCGTCCAAGGCACGCAAGAGGTCATGGCTGTTCGGAGACAGATTGGATCCAGCGGCTTTCGCAAGAGAACCAGGCTCCTAGGCTGTGACCAGTCGGTCAGCAAGCAGGATCTTGCGAAATGCGACCAGAAGCTACACAGCCAATTCTTCCTCATTTGACTCCAAAGGACTGCGCCAACAGCGACAGGGCCTGCAAAGCACGAGACACGAGACCCAAGCATCTTTGTAGTTTTGACTGGAATGTATGTCTCGCTGGAAGTTCGTCTTTGCCAGAATGCACAGCAGAGAGATGGCCTTCGTCCAGCTCAAAGCGGCCATGGCAGAACCCAGGGTGACATGGTCCACCAAACCTGCCAAGCACGTTTTACTTTTGAAAACCCCAACGACCTGACAAGTCAGGTCTCGAGGATGCCTCTGAGTCGCCATGTCTCTACATGAATCATTCGCCGTCCGTTTTCGCCGGCTGCCCAAGGCCTAAATATTCAGCTGCTGCGTTTCAGCTCAGCCGCCTCCACTAGCTTGTGATTTGCAGAAAGCCCACGATGGCCCTGAGTTGTGCCTTGCTTGCACGCCTCCGATGCCAATGCCTGGGCAAACCGCCAGTCGCCCAAGGCAGCTGCCTCAATTCAATGACTCAAGTAAACATGGCGCGAGACACCCTAAACCTATGGAGCATGAAATCTATATAACCGACTGTGAAGGAAGAGGAGCACCCATGGTACGGTGCAGCTCTATCATTGGTGCATGAATAACCTTTGCCGGCGAAGCTCTGCAACAGCAGCATTTCGAGCAACTGTGTTGGCAGCGAGACCTGCCGTGCTTGACAGAGCTGTGCAGCAACAGTATGTGCACCCTCTCTGACTCAAGGGATGCAGGCCGTAGATGTTTCTGGTGCCCGTGCTGCATGCCTAACGAGCAGCATGCGAACCCAGCCCCCAAGTTTGCAGCCCTCTCGGCGTCTCTCATCTACATGTCGACAAAGTGAGAAGCAGCAGCATGGCCAAGGCTTCAATTCCTCGAACCTCCTGCCTTGCTGGAGTCAGTCAAGTTATTGCATCGCAAATGGCGGGTCGGCCGAGTGATTGATTTAATCAATTTAATCATACTCAATCCTATGAATAAACTGCTGACTCAGGGTCAGAGGGAAGAAACGGCTGATGATATGACCTACTCGACACCTGATGCATTCCGCGGCTGAAGCTCGCCTCTGTCGCACCAGTGCCGGAGGGAAAACAACGCGGTGGCCCAGCGATGGGTAGCCCTGCCAGCACTCCTTAGCCAGGAGCCGCCTACCAGTCCAGCGAGCTACACTCTCGCTTGACCATGGTACCTCGACTGAGCCGGTCTTGCAGTTGCATGTTTTCTGGCGCGGAGGTGCTAATGTGCTATGACGCGCTATGCGCTCTAGAGCAGCGTCTCATGTTGACCTGACCTGACATGCAGGGCACGCCAAATGCGATGACGATGCAATCCAGTCCCGTAGTATGCAAACATGTGGACCTCCTGACGGCTAGATAACTGGAGTTCCGATGTCACGCCAGACGCACTCTGTCATAACGTCACACGGCCGAGTCTCATCACGGCTGTAACATGAAAAATGTTGACTTCCAGCAGCCCGTGTCCTCGGCTGCTACGTCGGCTCACATCGCATCAACAAGACTCTCCGGATGAGGCCGAATATGCTCAAACGATCTAGGTCAGACAGCATCATTGCCCGCAATCGCTCAGCCTTCCCACATACTGATTTCACCCAGCCCGATCATACCGTGTAAAGCAAAGTATACGTTTAACCGTTTAACCTGCTGGGCCCGACATAAAAGCCACCAAATGAAGCCCTGCACTCGCCAAGCGTCGCATAGACTGCAGGACGAGTAAAGCCGTCTGCAGGCGCCGCTTCTTGGCTAAGCCTGCGAACTAGACTCACACGGCACACCTGCGAAGACTCGATTAATATTCAATCTCAGGTGAGTAACAGAGTCTGTACGAGCAGCACTTCACATCCACAGTGAGGCATCATTTCTGAAGATGGTACGAACATGTACGAAAGGTCCAGAGTCTCGGACACTCCGGCGAGTTATGGCGGAGTGGCCAAATCAAGCTCCAAGCCCAAAGCCTACAGTACCAACTGTTGAGTCATGGATCTGGAGCAGCGAGCCAGGGATTCCCTCCGCGCCTGTCAAGGTCCATGTAGCCAGACGCGGATCCACAATCCACTCTTCCCAGTTGCAGGCCAGCGCGCCTGTCTTATGATGCTTGATGATTCGTCTTGTTACTTGTCACTTTGAGTGTGACCTCCAGTCAGTCTGGACACAAGCTCCTGCTCATGTCCTACTGGTATCTTTGCAGAATTATACTGCTCTGTATAACCGGCTCGGCCTTTCGCTCCTGATGGATGCAAGACTCTGGGGAACTTAAACAGTTTGGCGCCCTTCTGGGCCTGCGACCTACGAGAACACAGCATCTGCCCTGCCAGAACCGAACGGAAAGGTTCTGCCTCCACATTGAAGTTCTCAGTACGTCGGATCACCGGCTTGTCTTGCAGGGGTCTCTGGCGGGGCCGATGTTTCAGGGGCCTACTTGGCCCTGAGCCTGTTCGGCTTGGAACGTACACGAGCGATGCACTTGTCGTTCTAGCTTGTCTACTTCGTCTGCACAGCATATTCTAACGCAGAGAGTTCAAGGTCAAGCGATTTCGAAACTGCATCGCTCGATCTATGCTCAATTTGCTACTGGGGCTGCCTTGAAGTAAGCTTGCCCCTAACACTACTGATGTCACCTCCCCAGTCCTTTTGGCCCCAAGTCACGACCTCACCATCGCTTCGCAAAGCAGCAAAGGCGTAAGCCTCAGTGCACGGATGTGCACGGCCAGCACTTGCATTGCACAGCTACACCAAGCTCCTCTGCTCAGCTGAGCTGCCGAGGCGACGATCTGCCGGACATTGGTCAAGCGTGCTTGAGCAGAACTGCTGTCGCCACCAGCAGGAACATGGCCCCAGGTCACCACAGTTCCGTCAGACCGAAGAGCAGCGAAGGCGGCCCCTGAAGCGACAACGTCCCGCACTGTAGAAAGCTTTGCTTTCACACCAGAGCAGTCTCCCCCAAACTGCTGGCACCCCCACGTTGATACACTTCCGTCTCTGCAGAGTGCAGCAAAAGCTCCGGAAGTTGCGCACACAGACTTCACGCCATGCAGCTCCTCCTGTACGCTCACACAATCTCCTCCAAACTCCGGCGCACCCCAGCAGACGACGTTGCCGTCTGTCTTGACAGCCGCGAACGCAAAGCATGTTGAAACAACATCTGTCACATCGTTAAGTTGTTCCCGAACGGCAGTGCTGTCGCCTCCATAGGTTCTCGAGCCCCAAGTAATCACCCTACCATCCTCGCGGATAGCCGCGAAAGCACCTGCAAATGTGCTACTGCAAGCTTTGATCTCTCGAACACAATAGAGCTCAGATTCAACTTCAGAGCTGCTGCCACCCAGCTTAGGGCAACCCCAAGTTCTGACGCGTCCATCGTGGAGAACAGCAGCATATGCACCGGACATCGAACCCTGGCAAGCAGCAATCTGTCGAACGTTGCTGAGCGGTGGTGGGGCTGCCATACTGCGTGTGCGACCCAATAAGATCACACTGGAGTCAAACTTGATTGCAGCAAGACCATGTGGAAACACCTCCAGTTTTCGGACCTAAGTACATCTCGAAATTCAATCTCGCGCCGTCGCTGAATACTTAGGCAGGGGCCCGAGTTTGACGACATGCTGCCTGCTGCAGGCTTTCGTGCTCCCCATGCCAGCCTGAAGAGCCCCACATCACCTGAACTGGTCTCGGAGGACTTGCTTGGAGGTTGGCCGTCAAAGCAGAAGCCTGCCTCTTTAAGCCCCCTTCTGAAGCAAAGCAACCACAGTGCCATCCAAAAGGAGTGCAGCTTGGGTGTATTCCGCACCAAGGACCGTGTCAATGTCTTGTAGCTGGGCCTGGACAGATTGGAAGCGGCGACATGCATGCAGTCCCACCTGTTGAGACCGAGACTGAGGGGTTGATGCATCGCAGGCGTGACGCAGAGACAAGGGCGGCATGAATCGGGCAAGAGAGGGAGAGTAGGATGATAGAAGCCGAAGATACAGCATGTCATTAAGTGCCCATGACAGTGGCTCCCTTCTCCCCGTTTTGCCACGCTCTCTTCGTTACCGGCTCCACAGCCCCTGTGGCCCTGCGCTGCTCCCGCCCCGGGAATAGCGAAGCTGTAGGAAGAGATTCATACGTTAACCGAACCTCCCAGACACGCAACGAGCTTTGGGAGTCGAAGGCAATGGAATTGAGTTGAGCGGGAGCGGCCTTGGAACGCTCATCCCGGATTTCATCTAACAAAAAGACTGTGTAAGGGTCAGGGAGGGGAGGAATCATGACGGAGCGAAAGCAACATGCCAGCGAATCGCAACTCAACTCGGCGAGCCCTGTAAATCGAGCTTTTCCTGCGCCCCGGGCCTGAACGCGGGACGAATCTCCACCCCTGTCTGGGTCGCCCCAGGTCACCACCGACCCATCGCTGCGCACGAGGGTGAAGGCAGAGGACCATCTGCAGGAGAAGAGCCTGCACGAAGGCGCAACAGTAAACAACAAAAAGTAGCGCTTGCTTCTGTACAATGCCGCACGGTGGTGGGACTCTGTACTCACGGTACACACTACAACCCTGATGCATTTTGCGTGCTATCAAGATTCGACTCTGCACACTACCAAAACCCCTTCTGCATCCCTCCTGTCTGGTCGGATGACGGCAGTGAGCACGGTCCCATCTGCAACCTGCTCCTCCTTCAACGTGTGCCCTGGTGTCAGGATCCGGTCTCCGGCCAACAGCCTTTCGATTTGAAGCTGGAGGGCCTTCTGCGCCTGGCACTGGAACTGGCTTTAGACCCGTTCATAATCCCCTTTCGAGCAGACCCGCCAGTGCATGAGCAAGAAAACTCCCATGGTCAAAGCAAGCGGTGGCCTGGCTCTGCACAAAAAAAACAGGGCTATCCGGAGCAGCTGTGATGGGCACTGCTCGGCCGCTGAGTAACAGCACGTTGACAGTGATTGCCATCCAGGGAATCAGGAGGATTTACTTCTGGGCATGGATGGTGACGAATGGTCGGGGTCTATTCAATGCTATGCTACGGCAAGATTGACCAGAGTGACTGAGTGATGTGTACAGTAAATAACTCATAGCTACGTGAAACCCACTGCGGCCTGCGACATAAGCAGCACGAGACTCGGTCGATGCTCAAAGGCTGAGGCGGTCAGAAACCGCGCGAGTGATCATAATTGAGGCTTGAGAAGCTATCGTCCCCCAAACGTGTCTGCCATCAAAGTGTCATTCCATACTACGTGGTTTGATCAGACAGATTGCCCTGCAGTGTCTTCAGCAATTCAAAGCTTGCTCAACTTCGGCATTTCATCAAGTATCTACAGAGGATAGATAAGGTCAGTGCTAAAGACTTTGCACAATTCGTGCATCAGTATTCTCAGATTTGGGTCAGGGTGATGTGAGAAAGCTTTTTATTGACAAGTTTGCGTGCAGTACGGTCGTGTCGTGTAGAATGATAGTTGCATACTCCTCTGACTTCGGGTCCCTTGCAAGAGGCAGCGCCTGTGCAGATGCAGAATTCCGAGCACTGAGGAGTCGAAGCGAAAAGTCCAAAAGGCTCCTGGCCTCGGACTCTCTCAGCGGAAGGCACCGGGCCCAGCGCGAGCAGTCGGCGCAAAGCCATGGGCACCGCCCGGGCTTCCCAGCCGCTGCGAAGCTCGAACTGAACTACCCGAACACTGAACTCTTTAGCCTATTTAAGCCGGACTACCCGACTGCCCTGGCCCAACAGGATTTGTCATGGGCTGACCCTTCTGAACTTAAATTTGGCTGTACCATGCACTAAGCAGTGCGGCAGACATCTCCTGCACCTTTAGAATAATATTTATAATGCATTTAACCGGCAGCCTCATCCTCGAGGAGGACCATGAGGCGATTTATCCAGGCCTTCCAAGCACTGCTGGGGTTCACGAATCGTACAAGCGTGGCTGCAACCGACTGTATTTTGACACGCCCGTCTGAATTTTCTGTGGTCGGCACTAATAACTAATAGGCGAGATTTCCCAGAACCTACAATGCTTCTGCCTTTGCTTCTATTCCTGTGGTTTTAAAGGACTTCCCTGTCGGATCTTGCTGCTGGTGTCTCATAGTATTTTCCCATGAGGCCTCCGAACACCTGGTGCGGCACTGCCGGTGCTTCTTGCGGCACCTTGTGGCGCTCTGTAGGCTCTTGACTAGAGGATGCACAGCTCACCAGAAACACGATTCTGATGAGGCCTTCACTGTCCTCCACTGACAGGTCTGCCCATGTCTGCCCTACGACAACAGCTGGACATTCACATCCTGCCGGTCTGTGCCTGCCTAGCGTAGTACAGGTTCTGCCTTTGCTACAGTACCTCGAATCTGCCAACCACTGGCCAAGATGCCGGCCCATGGAAAGTCACCTTAGCCACCGCTGTGGGCGAATTTTGCACGTCTTCGAAGCTTCGAGATCTGGCATTGCACAGCCCGTGCAAACCCCGCATTGACTGGTGGTTTTGCCACTCTCGCGACAAATATGTCTGTTACAGTGCGACTATGACTGGAAGGGCTTCCTCAAGAAAAGCCACACTTGGGACAAGACTCTGCCCGCATGCCTGAGTAGAATCTCGGCATCCGAATGCCGTTTTACTTTCGGAGTGGTGGGCGTATGACAAAGGTATGGATTGCACGGTTGCACGAGAAGAGGAAACCACCAACTCCGGAGCTCCACTGCGAAATCACCTTTAGGAAAAGCACAGCACAAGCCCACCCGAATCCAAAACAATGTAGAACAAACTACCGAATCCAAGAAATCTTCAAAGTCAACGGTTGCATCTTCTTGCAGGCGAAACATTCCTCAACAGGCCCAGCTGCCAGAGAGAGGATCTTGAAAATTGGCCAGCCACTCTCCTTTGGTGGCGATGCAAGGCAGCGGCTTCGAGTTTGAGCGCAGCACCATGAACGTCGCATGCGGAATGTCATGACAAGCTTGATCCGGTCTGTTAGGCACTTTCCTGGCCAACAAATCGTTGTGACATGATATGCCATACATAATACTCGGAAAACCGAAACCAACCGGTTGGCACGCAGAATGGAAAAACTGTTTCCCAGTGCATGATTGGGTCCGGCCTGTTCAGCAGGGAGGCGTTCTTGGGAAGTTGCAAAGCGCTACAAGTACAAGGCCATTGGCCTCGATCGCTATCCTGTGAGTCTGCACACTATCGCAACGACGGCGGTTGATGCAAACAACAAACTGTTCTCAAAAGGACGAATGAAGTTGGGCCAGGACTTTTCACAAACATGCCATCGCAAGTCGACGCGAACAGGTCAGTCGTCCTTCCATGAGCGTATCCCAGACACATGCTTTTACAAACAAGTCGCCACGAGGTTCGTCCATCGCAGTGCCTCGACCAAATTGCGTTTGAGTTCTGAGCCGTTGTTTGTGTGTCTTGCATCCTGAAGGGCTGGGGCCGGGCAGCACTTCAATCGATTTCAATGGAGTGAGAAGTCAGCACTGCCTTCAGCAGGCGAAGGCGGCTGGTGATGATGCTCGGCCTTATGGCACAGCTCCCTCATGTCCTTTTCCTTTCTGCTCGCTCTCGATAAGTGTTGTCCTTTCTCTGCAGTCTCTGCATCATCTTCTCAGTTTACTCTCCTCCTTGGAGTAGGCCGCCACAAACGAAGGCCTCTGGCAGGAACCTTGCGGCCCTTTGCATTGCCATCTAGCCACATGCACATGGCTACTGCATGCAACCTGAAACCTAATCGAGAGATCGACCCGACCCCTAGTCAGGCTTAATCAGGCGTGTGCTGCTGTTAATGGCATCGGGAACAGACATATACGGCTGAACTCTTCCTCATGCACTCTGGTAGCATGCGCCTGACCCCCAGGCGATGGTCAATGCATCCGTAACCAGTATTGGGGCGCAGTCGGTGTGTCCTTCAAGTCCTGCTGCCTTGACTCCGCCATGGGCCATGCCCCCCCAACTACAAGAGCGTTGCAATCCAAACTGGCTGCCAAACCTTTCTCCCTCTCACTCGCTCTCTTTTCAGTTTAGCTTGCTTTGGGCTTGCGGCATGGACCCCTTCGCAAGCGAAGCTCGTTTATTTGAGCAGATATCTGCAATAGACAATAATAGCCAGCACGAGCTCTTTGTTCAAAATCGTCGCTCAGCCCGCCTCCCCTTTGCAAACTCATCACTTCGACTCGAGAAGTATTTGCGCTTCGCTCAAGGCACCAGGTTCGCTGAGGGAGCGGTGCTGAGCCTCGAACAAATTCCAAACATCCTGCTCCGCAGTGTCTGAGAAGCACAAAGGAATCTCCTCACTTGCGAGCTGTCAGCCGTGCCAAAAGCCGAGACGGATTGCACGCAAACCATTCTGTTCTGGTTGAGCGATGGAAGCCATGCCGAGACAGAACACGAAGGACAGATATACAGTATTCATCCATTTGATCCTGTGCTGAGGAACTGGAGGTGCAATTTTCGTAACTAGCTGACACATGCCCGCCTGCCTCCAGAGTCTCGATCTCATGGATGGCATGCTTGCCTACATGGCGCTTCAGCAAAGGCTGGCTTTGACCATGTCTTCGAGCACGCCACTGTCACTGGTCTGACGGAGCATTGGTTGCGTTTCGAACTTTGGTGGTGTCGTTGTCGCATACGACATGTTCACGTAATGACTGGGCACGCCACTTTCACATCGTGGGGTACTACTATTTGCGACCGATATACACCGCTTCTTTGACGAGCAATGAGCTTCTGCTGAAAAGTCGGTGCTGCACTTGTATTTACGCGTCAAAACTGCTCTTGGCGTTGCCTGTAGGCGCGCCGTGCTTCCCGTCCTGTCACGTAGGAAAATACTGCTAGCGCTTCAGACAGGGACGCGAAGCTAGTCACCTACTTTGATACGTGCCAGCGTGCAATGTGACCATCTGCTGCTCTAGTCCGGATGTGAGCGTGCACTGCTGTTGACCGAGTCGATCGACGACATGTGCAGCACTGTAGCTGTGCTCCCCCAGATCCGACTCTTCAAGCCTAACCGCAGGACCAAATGCCTCCTATATAGTCATCAGGGCACCACGGCCCGAAGCACCATCACGAAGTCGTTTTCGCTTTGTCTGGACACTCTGCGGTCTACGGCTTGACGTTCCCAGAAGGTTTGAGCTTGCATCATTTTCGCGCAGGCATCGTCCCGGGCTGCAGTCCTGAAACCACATTGCATGGCTCCGGCCGTCGGTGAAAAACCTGTAGCTGACGCTAGCCACAAGAGCCAGTGCACCGGTATGGCTATGACCAATGAAACAAGGAAACGATGAGACGGCGATTGAACGACAGCTGAGCGCAACGCAGCAGAAAAAGCTGAAGACTGACCTTGTCGCAGGGTATGGTTTTCCAACACTTCTACCTGGCATCCAGGTAGCTAACCAACAAAGCTAACCAACGACATGCCTCACCCTTTGTACCCGTGCAGACCCGAACACATGCCTCAGGAGGTTCTACCTGGAAGCATGTCGTCTGCAAGTATGGCCAAGTGGCCTGTCCAAGCAGGCAGCTGGGTGCCTGACGCAAGAAACTTCCGTGTCGCAGTCTCAATCCGGACAAGGCGAACAGACCACGGATCAACCGAGTCCTGTCTTGCCAATGGACCCATGAGCAACACTACCTCGTGCGCCATCGGACAAACCCGAACACAAATACCTGCCCTGCCTTCTTGCTGTCGGTGAGATGCAGCGAGTAAAGATCGCGAAATCTTCGGACCCAATCCTTCCTCCTGGGCTTCGAGAAGCCAAAAGGTCGTAGTTGTGGTTTGCACGGTGACAGCAAGACGTCGCATGCAGGGACGAGCAGCCCCATGTCCAAGAGCATGAAGTCCCCAAACTGGGCTTCGAAGGCGATCTTGTGCAGTTGCCTTGCATGCTAACCACAAGCCGAGGCAAGCTCCGGGGAGTCACTTGCCCATCGAGGCTCCAACCCATGCAAGCCGTCACGAAAGCCTTCAACAAGACCTTCTCGTGCATACACCTGCGGCATGTCTGCTCCAGAATCCCAGCGGATCGGACACAGGTCTGGTGAAGTCAGTAGCTGCAAGGCGCCCGTCAGACTCAACTTGCGCATGTACCCTACGGCACTACATTAGCCGTAGCGTGTCCCACCAGATTCCACAGATCTGCGACACTTTTGCGGCTCTACGGCTCCACGAAAGCGAAATCTGCTGAGCACTCATCGAGGCAGGGGCCAGGGCTCTCCGCATTTGGTCGCGCAGGCTCAGCCAATCCACGCTGCCCATGTCCTTCGCGGCGCTTGGAACTGTGGAGACGTCGCCAGCACGTCACCGAGCTACAGAGCAATATGATGCTCCCCAGGCCCCATGATCCAGACCACCCCCCACCAATTAGGGGCTGAACTCGTCCGTAGGTGCATGCTCCATCTGACCTGGTGGCCGCCAAGGCTTCATGACACAGTGGGTCTCATGCCATCCATACTCCCAAACCACAAGTGCTCCTCCTCTCGGATTTTTTGGCAGGACCTTGCAGCTCGGCGAAAACACGTGCAGGGCAACGAGGACAACCGGGCAAACAAAGCAAACAAACGGACCGAGAAGTAAGACAGCCAAATAGGTACAAAGCGGAGAGGAGTTTGTGTTGAGCATGTTGAGTTGCTCGCGTGTGTCGGCAGATCTTTAATGGATGTGATATGATTCAAGCCCGTGCAAGTGTCATCTGCAACAATCAAGCATCAGTGCGTATTTGCAAGCAGGACAGGCCTCTCTGCAGGTCATGCAACTGCACGCGAAACAGCTGTGAAGGGTCCAAACTATTGGCATGTTGTCAGTCATTGACTGCGACGATGGCGAGACGGTGCTTCACCTCTAAGAGCTCGTGGCCTACAAGCCAATGCCTGTCGAGGAGCAGTAGCCTGCGAAAGTCTTCTATGCACGCAGGATTCTCCTGACCAGGTGATGCAGTTGCTGTCAATGTCGTCTGCTGCTGCTTATTACTGCCAATGCATTCTACTTGTAGGTCTTGTTTCTACCAACTCTGGCCCGCGTTGCCAAGCTCTCTCAACAGTTTTGTAACTCTGCGGTCCCACCTGTCCGCATCGCCACGTGCCCTGCGCCACGACAGCGTGTGCAATGAAACCCTGAGATGTGTTCCCTGTCAGCGGACTTCTTCGAAGTGGTAGTATATCTAAACTGTCTGCTGACATGATGGGGCCCAACATTCGGAGCTCACAGCTTGTGCGGCTCGCAGATACGCATAGACCATGCGACGTCTTAAGCAGTCCGAAGTACTGCAAAGCTGGTGAGGGATGCAACTCCAAGCTGGTGTCATGAAAGTCGGCGCCCTCGATTTCAAAACTCCTTAGACGTTCAGCAAACGCCTTGATCAGAACGATCTGCTTCAACGCATTTAGCCATCCAAAACAGGGCCTCCTCGAGTTTGATTTCTTCTCCTGCTCGGCCTCTCAAGTCTTGTCATTCTGGCATGTGACGCTTTCGAGATGCAAGGTTCGTGTCCCTGGAACCATTCAAGCCAATGACTCTTATGAACACCGGGGCACTGTATGGCTTTGGCAAGGACAAGCAAGGGACTTACGTTGGCATCGTACACGGTTAAGCCGCCATTTGCTCAAGCGCATGTGTGTGTGTTTTCTTTTATTATCTTTTATTTCTGTTTGTCCGTGGGTTGGTTCAAGCTAGGTTGACTTTCGGCTACTACTCCCGGACACTGATGTTCAAACGCTATGGAGCTAGCCAGGGGTGGGGACTTCCCTTGCCGCCCGCATCTGTCTGGATCCTCCAAGCCCGATACCCACAAGACAAAGAAGGCTGCAACTAGCCTCTCTTGCAGTGAGAGGTGGGTGCATGCTGTGGAAAATGCCTGTTGTGACCTCTTTAGCGGCTTTCGCAGAGCCCACGCAGCACCTCGGGAGCACCGACTGTCACATCCTCGCTTCATTCTCTCTTCGACGGAAAGCCGCGGAAAACATCCGAATCAGCAGAACTGCATCCGCATGTTTCATCTGAGGCCAGCTCTTTTCGCAAGGAGACTGCAGGAAACTCAGCTGACACAAAATGCCATGGCGATAATGCGAAACAGGCACAAAACATGCCTGCGTATGCAGAGATGTATTGTGCAATGTATCTGCGTATGCACATAAATAGTTAGCATCTACTATAGCCACTCAGTCTAGGTTCCGGTGAATGCATACGCGGTACATTCAGAATAGTGAATGACCGCACTGTCAGCTGCTCTGGGTTTGGTGCTCCATGGTGCTCCACTGACACAAGCAGCCCAGCCCTGCGTGAGGAAGTCAAACTGTGGCACAATATGGTACAATCGTTCTGCCGAGCTGCTGGAGTGTCAAGGCAGGCTGCAAGTGGTCCTGGTATTGGCAGTACCTGACCGGAGTTATCCAAGGTTTCGGGCTGCGGGAGTTTCTTGTGTTGAATGCGCCCTTGGAATAAATCTTCGGTAAGATTCCTTTAGCCTGCTGTTCAATTTAAACTCTGCCTACATGTAGCTATCGGCATGCAGGTGCTGATCGGGTCTGTTGGTCCCTTGCCCCAGCATTCTGGGCATACACGGCATATCCTTTCCCGCCCACTATGTTATCTTCGCGGCTAAATCACCTTATCCTCGCCACGATCAGTACGGTTTGAAGTTTACGGGTACACTGTAGTAGTCACCACATCATGCATGTGATGAATTAAATCCATCTCAGTGGAGCTTGTGTTTGCTCCCGTTGCTTGTCTCGTGTGTTTCGTTCGCCAAGTTGTGGTCGGGCACGACCCACGCTTCTTGTGACGTCTTGTGTTTTGCGGAACTTCAACTCTTCTGTCTTTGCGGTGGAGAATATCCGGTGTGTCAGAGCCGTGATCCTCGCGACAATCGTTCTTCGTCCCTCACGGTGCGGTTGGCAAGCATCAATGAAGGGAATCTGGTTCGCAGGGGCCTCGATCCTCGCAACACTTGCCGTGTGTCCCGTGTGGCACAACGTTTGCTGTCGCGGGGTAGTGGGCATGTCGGCCTCATACCTGGAAGGGCATATGTGGGGATACCATGAGGTGGAGTCGCATATCTTTCGCGAGTGGACCTGGATCGTCAACCCGACACCTCCAAAAGCGACGCTGGGGCGCCCGACAGCTCCGGCCCGCGTAGCGTCGGCTCCTCACCTTTGAACTCTGGTACCGTTGGCCCTATGGCACTCTGAGACCAAATATCTGTGGCCACGTCCGAGGGGCTAAAGCCGGGAGCTTGACATAAACTGCAGTGAAGTGCTAGCATGCGCAGGGCCATGACTTCAAACACATTCACATGCCACACGTGGCAAAGTCCATGCTCGCAGAGTCAGAGCAGGCAGAGGTATCAATGCAGGTGGCTGCTTCCAACGCTGAGATGAGCACTTCGCCAAAGCAAAGACCAGCCCGTGACCGGCCTCAGTCTTCGTGAATTCAGCAGGGAACAGAGTCCGAAGAGGCAGGGCTATGGGATCAGGGGGCCATGTCCTGCCCGACTGTCAATTGTTTCCGACTCCGAGAGAGGCACACATCACTGCGAGACCAGGTTGCCTGCCGTCCTTCGGACAAGTACATGCTGTCATCATGCCGAGGCTTACAGTGAAGCGTTGGTTCCCATGCGTCTGACTTCTGCCTACTAACGACGCATGCAGCTTCGGCAGACGCTGCGACCACCTAAAGGACCCAACATGTCACTCTAGAGCCCTAGCACTGGCCACACACATAGCCGCAGCCACATAGGCAAAGCAAGCGAACCAAGTGGAGGAAGTGCCTTCAAACCGGGCAAGCTCTGTCCACTTCCATTTTTGCTGCGCAATCTGCCGCCGCACCTTGCAGGTGACCCGTCGAGAAGTCAGTTCCTGTTGCCCAGACTTGCCTGCGAGTTGAAACCTGACATGTAGCCTCAGGCAGTACATGTATGTCCCAGGCTCCCAGGTCATCCTGGCACATTAATTAGTGCGGAGGTTTGTGCAGAAACCGTGGAGGTGGAGGGGTGCTGACATGAGATGCGGCACAGTCTGGTATAGTTCACTGTAGAAATACCGATCGTTAAGCATCCGTTTCCATCGGCAACATAGGCACATACTCTTTTTCCGTTGCTTCTTTCTTGCTGCTGGTAGGCATTAACGCACTACCTGTACATCGTGAACCTGTATCGTGAGAGAGAAAGTGTGAAGGTCATGTCTTCGCCTGGTTGCTTGGACATGCAATGCACCTTCTTCCACTTTCAAGGCTGTCCACTCGCATTCTTGTGGTCTCTGTGCGTTCCGCACAAGAGGCTGTGCAAATGGGAGGAAAGAAAGGCAAGCGGCCCAGTAGCAACTTCGACTACATCATTTCCATGGAGAGGCATCGCCGTACCAACTCGCCACCGCCTCAAGGCTGGCATAGGCCTTGCATATCTGAAACAGGAGCGGGAATTCCTTGGCTGCTTGTCGGCCCTTCAAAAAATGCCAACATAGGCTTGGGTTCACTGTCAAGCGATTTCTGAAGGCCATCTTACTGGAAAAATCTTCTTATCGCTGCAAAGGCTTCTTTGACTGCGTCGGCCTCGATGTAGCCCGTGGCGATGTTATCGGAAATGAGGCTGAAGAGCGCACTGTCACCCCAAAGCGGGAGGTCCCCTGAGACAAAGGCCCCTTTGACCCCAGCCTTGGTGATCACACCCTCGAACTGCTTCAGGCGGCCCAAGACCCCGGCCTGTTGCAGCACAATGACATGCAGCTCACAGCTTACGTCACGAGCTTCGACCTCTGCGAGGTTTCAGTCGCAAGTTGTTTCCTGGTGCAATTCGCCAACTGCTGGCCTTGTAAGTCTCCTTGGCAGCATCGTTGCCTCCGAAGGTTGCACCAGCCCAGTCGCTGCGCCACTCTGTATAGGCATCTGCGATCATGTCCTGAGATCTGCGATATGCACATCTGCACTTTCGACCCGGAGGGACAACTCATGCACTTTGGAGTATACCTGTGAGGGCCTCTATCAAGACTCTCATCTGTGTCTGCCTGATTGTTTCGCTCACTGCCTGCAGAGATGGCCGTCTTTCGCAGACTGTATCAACTCCCTTCTGTCGAAGAGTCCTGTGTATAGAGGCTCCAGCAATCGGCGTCCTTCAGATTCTTGAGCTGAACGAGCCCGGCGACCAGCCTGACCAAAAGACTAGGGCAAGCATGTGCAGGCGCAGTGCTGACCAGCAAGGAAAAACTGTACCAGTAGTATATGTCACGCCCATCTCACCTGTGAGCCCTCCAACTGTCGGCTTCTACTTGCGGATCTTGGCTGCTAGGCTGCTGCAGAACTCATGACCAGACTGTAGCAGAAATCCGTTGCACTTCTCGGCTACCGCGGGGAAGCTGAAGTCATGTCCCTCCGATGAAATGTCCTGCATTCATGGTCACGAAAGCCTTGTTGACGCTTTGCGTGTTACTCTGGCTACCTACGTTGGACCTGTGCTGCTCTTAATACTCACCTCGTGATCCTTTCCTGCCCATCATCTCTCGAATCCTCGCGTGCTGGCCTCATCAAGCTGATGTGCTCTGAGCAGGCAGGACCATCACCGACCCAAAGCAGCGGAAGATGCCCTGCTGGGGAGATGCCCTCGGCCACATACTTTGCTTTCATGCTGCCCCAGTCTGCCAGGGCATGCAGCTTCTCCGAGAAAACGATCTGGCGAGGCAAAATGGACATGCTTTGGCTCCCCCCCGCACCTAGCTGCTTGATCATGTTCAGATTTATGTACTCAGGCCTTGTTGGCCAAGAGGAAGAAACGCAAAGCCCCTCCACGACCCGAGATTGGAGCTGGCAACGCTAAGTACTCCAACCTCAAGCCTTTTTCGACCTCCTGCACAAGACATGGTTGTGATGGGGGGGGCATGCTGGTGGGGCGCATGCTCGTTTCGTGGCGTTGCAAATGAGACTGGAGACTGTTCGTGGACATCTTAATCTTTCTCGAGTTTGACGATTTTCCATATGCTCACGTGTTCGAAGACAGGGGTCCGGCGTTGCAATGAATTTGAAATCATGGGAGCTCGGTGCAGCTCCGGTCCTTGGGTTCCTCCGCTGCGAAGGCTGCCATCGCTTGGTCCATGGCTCCAAGCCCTGCGCTGCTGAACTCTTCGAGGGATGAGGCTTGAGCCGCTCAAAATCACGAGGAGAACAAGCTTCACGATTCTGGGCCGCCGCCTAATCATGATCATAGTGTTCTGGTCCCTCTGGTGGTTGTGCCACGCCAGACAGAAAGCGTGCGTTCGGAGAAGCAAAACATCACTCAATGCATGTCGCTGGAACTGCTACTGCGTGTAATTCTTGTGCCCTGCACCCAAACCTCGCTCCCTGGCCACAAAACCCAAAACACTTCACGGATGAAGCCCATTTCATCCTACAGCAAAGAACAACCAAGCCCGAAACCTATCAAGACGAGCCAACCTAAAAAGGCAGCCGTGGGAATGCTCCTTTTTAAACACAAGCCTCTCCTTCTGCCGATCTACACAAGCTTTAGTGGGTCAGGACACGGAGAAGCATAACATCAAAAAGCACAAAACTGGAACCATCAAGGCGCATATTCGGCATATCCACGAACGAGTCATTCACCAAGTCAGGAAGCCGTAAACAAGAAAAAGACAACAAGTTCTATTGCCTGAAGCTGGAGGCAACTACAGCCCTTGATGCAACCTGTAGAAGCAGCGGTTAATTCAAGTTGGTTCTACCCAGCTGCCTCTGCTGTGGCCCGAGAGGGGCCAAGCGCCGTCAGCAAGGTGGCACACGACCACAGGTCCTGAAACATCATATAGCTATGAACCGACTGCCGAAGCCTGCACATGAGAACTGCAGCCGTAAATGCGGAACAACATTTCTTCCTCTATTGCATATTTTCTGGGCGTTGACAGGGTCCAACTGCTGCAGAACTTGCGGACGACTCTATGATACTCTATGTCTATAACTTTTTTTTGCTTCGGGCTTCTTCTACGGCTTCAGGCCTTTTGCAGGGAGCTCGGGAGGAGGGGGACGGGTGCGGGGCTTGCATGCGGACGCTCGATATCACAAGCCGTCAGCACCCACATCAGACACGCATGAAACAACACATCAAACACATCACATCAAGGAGGGAAATCCTGAAGTAGACCAAAGATCGATTTCGCAAGCACATATGTTCAGTGTCGGAACAGCACAACAGAAAATCTCACGAAGCAGACACCTCATTTCGCCAGCACCCCCTCAAAAAAACATGTCTGCGGCGTTGCTACATGCCAATACCCACTTCATTAGCACCGGCACAAGAAACGTGGCCGCGGCATCGCAACGCATCAAAACCCGCTTTCACCAAGTGGAGGCTGGTTTGAGTACTGCCCATGCATGGAAACAATGTAGAACGTATCGGATACTTGCTGCTAGCACCGCTGGCCCGAGATTAGCGCACAGAGTGCTGCATTTCTGGAAATCTTCAACTGACATAGTAAGCTCGAGAAGCTGCAAGTCTCCATAGTGACGTAATTACTGCCGCAGCTGTCGCACCTCCGGACACACGGTCTCTTTCTCTTTCCCCACTGCAGCGGAGATCCCGTTGAAAACAATGGCCATATTCTCAGGCGTCACATCTTTGGACACGTAGGAGACAAGTGTCGCTTCGCTGAGGCCCAACTCGCTCCCTCAGTCCACATGGGCTAAGCAAGGGTTTTTGGCAGAAGATAGCATCAAGTCATAAAGTTTCATAAACTGCTCGAAACAAACGGAGCAAGCAGAAGTGCAGATTCTGACAAACAGAATGCCCTTGCATCCGGGAGGCTTAGCCACGCAACTCGGCCATAATCCAAGATCCGTTTGGCCATGATGCCTGCACGCCGCAGGCGCAGATCGGCCGCGCCCACTGCCCAGCCGGCAGCAGACAGAAATTCCGCAAAGTCCACAGGCTCAGTGAGCCTGGAGCGAATGGGGCAAATCTGCCGATGACGGATCCAGGCTATGCCAGTAATTGTTGGTATGGAATGTCGGCTGGTGATAGTTGGAATCACTGATGATTTCTACCATGAACCTACGAGGATGTTGCTCCGGCGCATGCTGGAGTTGAGCTGGTTCGTGCGACTGCATGTTAGGCCAAGCCGAACAGCTAGCTCGCGATTTAACATTACTCGTCGGAGTCGGAGATGTGATTGAAGAATGCCCCCACACTACAGCCAAAAGCAGACAGTTGCTTTCACCTAGGATGCGCTGCTACCACACCACGGAACCCAATCGTAAAATGCTGATTGAGCACGACATCTCCCAAGGCAGGTTGACCAGCATAACTTGCACACTGTCTCATCCCGGGAATGAGTGCAGTAGAACGGCCCCAGACTGGTCAGGAAGGCTGGATTCACGTAGCTGTCCGGGTCCTCAGTCTGCATTCCTCACGACAACAGCCGACCACCAAGTTTGGGATCTGTCTTACGATTCGGAAGCTCAGAACTGTCCTGTCAACGAGCGTGCGAGCGTGGAAAATAAGGATACGAGCCGAGAGCAAGTCTCTGTAGGCCGTTGTCTAACGGCTTGCAGGCAAAAGTCGCAGCGATGATGGCAGCAAGTTGCGCAGCACAGGCCCACCTGAAAAAGAGCAGTGGGCAGTGGGCTCAGGACAGCTCAGGGCGACGTCGGGACATCATACAGAGCCTAAGAAATCCTCAAAGACGAGGCTCGCCTTCTACGATTCTACGTGCCTCAAGCCTCGAGAGGCTGCAAAGTTGCTCCACGGAGTGAGCGTAGAGCAAGATCTGTGCCACTGCCACACAGGTGCCTCAACTCATCCAGGAGAAATAGACAGCACGCAGGACTGGTCGCTACAAGTTACTGCAGCGAGATAGTTGGCTTCCTGGCGATAGATACGCAGCAGTATACAGTATACTTGCCAGAAGGGCGCAGGCATGGAACCATAATATCACTGTCTAACCACCTGACTGACTCGCGGGTGGCTGGCGGCTAACTGTGGGCATGGATCCGCGTGGCTGAGACGAGAAGGCACTGCTGACGGGCTCAGAAGATTGCGCTACAGTATCTCTTTGTTAGTTGTAGAGATTATGGTTCGTACCACCTCTTGCCTGTGCTGTATCGCAGTGTCTATCCAGAAGAAAGCTTGACGGCTGGAACTGCAGCTGCTTCTTTAGAAGATTGATTGTACAGCAACTCAGCAGCTTCACCGATGACAGCAGTTCAACAGCCGACACGATAGATCCGACACTGACTTGATGGATCTAAATTCTGAATCAAAACAGGGCTCTTGGCACAAACCAGCAAGCCACCAGGAGGAGGAAAAGGCGGTGCCCTGCACGTCGCGGAAGAGCAAACTACTCTTGCCGCTTGGTTTAAGAGTCGAACATCTGAACATGACTTTGCACCTCCCCATGTGCCCCATATAGTATAGGCTCCATGTCCTGCCTGAGCAGTTCTGCGAGGCTATGCAATCGCCGCGAACGCTGCGCACTGCGCTCGCATCGAGCGAAGCTATCGGAAAGCCGTGCTGCAGCATCTGGGACCTGCCCGGTCACTCAAGTTAAGCACCTGGTGACCATAGCCTCGGTCTGGAGTCTAGAGCAGTTACAATTAGCATTTGAGTGAGAGCTCTTTGCTCTTGCCCCAAGCAACCTACCGACATCCATGATCCTCATATCACGTGGCTGCGTCGAGGCTTCGATTGCTTCCCCGACACAAGGACATGTACCATCTTTGGCACATTGCCTTGTCCCAGAGCAGCGCCCCAAGATCGAAGTCAGCGATGTCCATGCGGAGCCGAAGCACCTTGCAAGCTTAAAGGAAGCCACTGAGACTGACTTTCTGTTTCTTCATGTTGCGGCTCCATCCAAGTTCAGCGGCACTGCCGGGCACCGCCGGCCTCGTGACCTGCATCCCGACGCTGCTCTACTCGATGGCGGCGTGTGTCCCGGTCCACAAGCACGCTTAAGGCCTCGAGCAGGGCGGGCTGCTATACCTCTTTTCTGACAAGTATCTTGGAATGTCCTTGACCCCGAACGCTGTCAAACTTCAAAACCTGCCTTCCTTGCGGGAGTGCTGCTACGAACGCTACAGTACGTCCGCTACCTGCTGCTGACGGGGGGCTTGAGTCCTCCCGTAATACCTGATATGATTATGGAACCTGTCACATTTCTTGGCTTGTCTTCGTGCTGCATTCATGCACATGTGGAGCCTGCGGGTGAGCCCGGAGCAAAGAAAGCGAGAGAGCCCCACGCCCACAGCCGTACTCCACCATCACCGCTCGAGAAAGTCTGTCACCACAGAGTTCCTAGGGATGCACCGCATCCAGCTTTGGCGACATGGACCGAGGACTGCCGTACAGACACTACAACAAAATTCAAAGTGCTGTGCGGGCCGGTGTCAGATGCTAACTGGGACAAAGCCAGATTCTGAAGGCCGTGCTTGTCCGCATGCCCAAGCTCACTTCCGGCGGCGTCACTCATCGACTGGTTCACGATATCTTGGACTTCGACGCGTGCTTCCCGCCCTAGAGCTTGGCAAACGGCCTTCGGAAACATCGCTTCGATTCTCTCGATCCAAGCATCTCGACGATCTCGGCTCATCAAGCCGATAGCGGGTAAAGTGTGAGGTAGGCTGGTGGGCCCACAGTTAACGCCTGCACGATAGAATGGTAAAGAACCCAGGAACTGGGCGTCCCTCAGGCTTGGGCAGGCTGTAGCCAAATGCCTCTCCAAGTGGATGCGCTCCACGGTATGCGATGGATCCAGGGGACACTGCACTCTGTCTCCATCGGCCTCCAAATGGGTCTTGCATCTCCGGCACCCTGGAGCGGCTCTGAGCCAGCACCGCTTGCCTTTCTTGCTGTGGACGAACTCACACTGCAAAGAGTCGCCTCTAACAGCATAGCTTCGCAGTGCTGCAAGGAGCTCGTCAACCATCTACATGTCCATGCGACCGCATGCGATACAAGCTGTCATGCTGCCAGGGTGTTCTGCGTGCAGCCCCCCTTTGCTGATGCGGTACCACATGCTGTCGCATAGAGTTGGAAGTGCACAGGCCTGTAGCTTCTACGTGCTCGTGTGTTTTCCGTCTGGTTGATGTCGCACAAACAATCCCGCATTAAAAGCTTTCAAACCCACTTCGAAGCTGTTGTTGCAGCGGAGCACACCTGACATGTGGTTGGTTTCGAACTATGGGTGCGAGGTGACAGCACTTAGTGACTGCGACTCGGTCCTTGAGCATCTGCCTTTTGGCAGGTGAGTCCGGGTACGGTGAAGTAACAGATAAAACCTGGGCACAACGTTCTGTCACATGCAAATCTTTGAGCTCCAAGAGCGAGACATGCAAAGTTCGAAACATTTGGAGACTGAGCTTGTCGCGATCAGTAGCGGTTCCCGCATGGTGCTCTTGCAGTCAAAAGGCAAGGGCAAACCTGCCATGAGCTTGCTTTCAGCAGGATGGCATGTTGGGCTGAGGTATGCGTCTGTCAGTAACGGTGGCCAGCATCCGTGTGAGCCCACATATATACTTCCGAGGTCAATGGTGTACAGGTTATACAGATTTCCTGCAGATGAGCCTTTGGGGTCGCTTGTGGAAGATCGACTTTGGATCCTGGCGGGCGACTTCCGTGCCGACCGTCTTGGAGAAGTATGCTATACCAGTCATTAGTTGTCTCGTCGTGAACTCTACAGTAATCACTAAAGCAATGGAGCCCCATTGTCTGGAACCCAGCGTGCTTTGTGCCGAGTGCTGCACCTCCATGGTCGCCGAGAACCTCGGGACCTCGGGCGATCTCAGGCGGCTTCACGACGCCCCGAGACCTGCAGTCCTGATCAGTCCTGGACCTCTGGGTACGCACGACTCCTCTGTAGCACGTGGGGTGCGGCACTCAGAGCAGCACCACTCGGCAATTCGCAGCACGGGCTTGGACGTCCGGCCCTTCGACCTGACGGAAGAGCAAGAGACAAGGTCGTGCTTCATCTCACAGAGCGGCAACTCGAAGGCCGACGGGAGTTGCTGGCAGCTGCATGCGGCTGCGGTCAAGTTCCCGACGGGTGGATGGGCACGTAGCGCACATAGCGGCCCCTGACGTGCATACAGGGTCTCGCCGAGAGGATCCGAGATGGCACTGCTTTGACGATGACCCATCGGAAAATTGCCACAAAGAAGGCAGTCAGATGCCTGCAGCCTAAAGCGCCGCCCCGAGGACTCGATGAGATGGATAATTTTCATAGAGCTGAGCATCCAACAGCAATTTCACTCCCGGATGGGCCAACTGAGCACCAAGAAAGGACGAGGACAGCTTGCATCTTCCCACTCGGAAACAGCAACTTAGCGGAGGGCAAGTCGGATCCAGAGGATACACTAGTCACTAGTCAAGAAAAAGGATTCTGCAGTAAGTATATGGGACATGCCCTGCCAAACGGCAAGTCCCAAAGTCCCTAATCCCAAACAGGAGGGGAAGCCACCTTTCGAATGCAAGCACTTTTTAGCACTCGCACTCGACAAGCAGGCGAGGGTGCAAGCATTACTGACTGCGTGGAAGATGTGGAAGCCGACTCTCTTCAACGATTTCGACATACCAGACCAGACCGTCATTCCCCAAACGGAACGCCCGGCAGAAGCAATTTCTTGCTGGTGCAGGTGCTGGTTGTTGTTTTGTTCTCGACTGTGCGGAAGCGTGCGCCACTTATGAATCTGTGGCCTCGAAAGCGCAGGAATCGCGCGCAAGAAAGCGCTGACAATTTAGTCCGTGGCCCTGGCCGCTGGGGTTCTGGCCAGGAAAGCTGGGCAACGCGCCAGAGCGTCGGCCTCAAATGGCCTGAAACGCGACCAAGCAGGCCGCGGGTCTTTTGGCCAAGCACACCCACTTGCTATCATGTAATGCATGGATGTGGTGATGCCACGCGCGGCCTGCATCTTGCAAGCCGTTTGAGGCCCCCAAGGCCACAGATGAAACACCTGGCAACCCATCACAAAGTAGCAAACAGTAATGCGGACAGGTGTTGCGTCGCTGACGGAGGTCTGGCGACTACCTAGCACAATTTAGTATGGAGAGTCGAGCACAAAACACCTTATTTCAAAGTTGAAGGATCCATGGGCCATGGGCGTCGCTGCGCATGATGCTGCGTGCTTGCACCCTCAAAGGAGACTTAAGCTGCGCACACTGCAAGAGACCTTGGACGTCAGCGGGACCTTACATCACTGACAAGCGGAAACTGCGTCAAGCCTCAATTGACCAAAGCCTGGTGAGCATACTTATTTGCAGATGCTACCTGCAAGACTTGATGTGTATGCGACTTTAATTACCGGCAAAGGAAGTGAAGACAGGCATCACTGCTACCACATGAGTAGTTACATGGAAGCACTACGCACCTCGTACGCACTCTCTTTTGGATGCGCCGCGGCAGCAGGCAAGCCAGCTGGCAACCAAGCCACCGCAGCATTTGCTGCTCGGTGGGATAACTCTCCTCCTGCACTGCTACATGGTCCCTGCATGTCTGCCGTTGGCAATGCGAACATGTCTCTTGCTGTAGCTGTGTTGAGACACGGCGCCGCGTCTGGCTGTCAGACGTTCATGGGTTCAGAGTTTTTTCCAGGCACACCTGGCTTCCCTGTGAAAAGGGCCGCCCCAAATTTCAGTGTGCCCAGGCCGCTGCCGACCAGGCCACCTGCCTTGTGCCAGCATTGCACAATCACAAACCACTCTCAGATTATCTGATCTTTCCTTTACTCCTTTACTGGCGTCTTCTGCACTCTGCGCATGTGCTTGCCTCCACATCTGCCCTTGAAATTGAAAGCATCCTTAAACCCTTAAGTCATCAAGAGTCAACAACAAGCGTAAGCTAGGAGCTCTGGCCTGCTGCATCAACGAGGATGCAGCCTTCGGCTCAGCCTTTCGCGCCGGGGGATCCAGGCGCAGCCTTGTCGGAGAAAAATCCTCTCGTTTGAATACATGTTGCTGAGAGCTGAAAAAATACCTCCGCTTGTGTGCTGCCACCAAACTGAAATGCTTCAAGGAATTTCAAAACATTCTGAATCATGTCTATGTTTTGGACCGACGTAACTTTCAAAGAGTTTGTGGCAAGCACCTACCTGCTCATCATGCCAAGATTTTGGCTGCCCACTAGTTACCCAAACTATGTCTTTCCTCTTGGGGGCACTCGATTTATGGGGCAGCTCCCAATCTCCGTTTTGTTGTCGATCGCCTGCGGTCCCTCCATGACGTTTTACCTCACATTACTAGCTTCAACCTTCACGCCTCTAGCAGTCTAGCAATTCACACGTCTTGGACCCTGGATAGTTAACCGGGGGGCTCGGGTATTGGATTGCGGAACCGCGCAAGCCGCAACATCCGTGAGGTCGGGTTTCGTTTCCGAAACCATTCAAGACATACCGGTATAGTAGATTCATAGATTCCATGCAGAATGTGTAGTGTGCAGTCGCGTGCATCCATCCTCACTCCGTTTCAGATTAGCGCGCACTAGCTTTGCCCCAGGGTGCCTTTGCTCGCATTTCTTTCGACATCGTTCGTGAGTGACCGCAACGACATCCTGATTTATAGCTCAGGCTTCAATTACGTAACGCTGAGGACCGTTCAGGATTGGAGGAACTTGGAGGATAAAGGTGTGAGAAGGCTTTGGCATCAGGCGTTCGCCCGTCCTTCCCACAACTGTGTACAACCGTCAAGAAACTCTGTCGATCCACAACTCTGCAATTCCTCAGTGCCTAGGATGGCACTCGAAGCTGTTTCAGCGTCATGAATGATTCGTCAACATGGCTCTCGCAAACAACGAACCAGGAAGAACACAAACGTCTCTTCGAATGTATCATGATTTTATTTCCCAAGGCCTTTCCAGATCGGATGTCGCGCTGACATTCCTCAGAGCACGTCTCACGTCTCAACATCAACAGGATCTCCACATGTAATGTGCGAAGGTGCCCCGCCATCCTAGGTCATATTGCCCCGTTTGTCTTGTATGATGTTGAGCAAAACGTTTGTAGGCGTATGGGCTCGGTCTCGTAAAAGATCGGTGAGCTCATGGAACTTGACTCGAAAGATCAAGAAGTAGATTCCAAAACGTTATCCCGAAGCGAGTAACCAAAAAGATATTTTTCCCACCCGCCCAGCTGACCAGGTCGCACCGCAGGGAGTTCGTTCGGACTGTTGAGAGAAATTGGGGCAAGTCAAGGTGATCCACATGCTCCACTCAGCACGGCAACCACCTCCAAGTAGCAAACGATAGATTCGGGGAGCATGCAGACCCCGAATCTAAATACCGAGTCCTAAAGACGTGGCTTGTTTACGCATGATCGAAGAGAAGCACAAGGCGAAATTGACATGAATCTGCTCAAAAACTCATCAGCTGTTTCTTAATGACTGTCTTGAGGACCCAATGAGCCCGGACTTGCTCATGCGGCTTACCCACAGTCGGTGGCTGCTTGATGTTGGCTATGTTCGCTAGCTGAAAGAGCAGCCGTGCACCTGCAGTCTCCCCTGCGTCTTTCATCATGTTTCGAAAGCTCCCTACACAGTCCCTCACCCTGCCAACAGCACTGCGGCGTCAGTTCAGGAGCTGGGAGTCCTGATTCCGGACATCTCCTGACCGACATCTTGTGATGTTATTTTCAATGCGAAGAAAGCGGCATGGCCACTGGAAGTAGCGGAAAGCGTGGAAGAACGGGCCGCAGCGGAGCCGCGAATGTCGTCTGCAGCTCGAAGCCTTCGTTCTCGTTGCCTCGAAACCACCACGGTCTCAAGGACAACAAGCTTGGCCGGCAACTCTGCGACTCTGCGCTTGTGGCGGAGCAACGAAGATAAGCGTATCTATTTATGTCTGGTTGTCGATGCTCCCTGACAGGCCTACATTTCTGCCCCAGCTCACTGAAGAGACGCTCCGGTTCAGAGTGCAAGGCAGATCCAAGCAGCCAAGCGTCCAAGCGCCGGTTTGCTGTTAGAGCGCACCGTCCCAGAGCCACTCTGAGAGAGATACCTGGGAACACGGAGGAGTGTAGGACGGGGTTGGCCTCGGTCAGCGTCGAAGTATTTCAGGGACCTCGTGTCGCATAACTTTCGTCTCCTCTCTGACTCCTCTCCTGCAATACTTCAGGCAGGTTTGCGAAGCTTCCGACCCGATTCAAGATGTTCCGACGCAGCAATCGCATGTTATCGTTCCGGCACTACGGTACTCTCCCGTCGTCGGTGCTGAGGCATCAGCCCGTAGAGCGGATTGTGGAGAAAGAAAGGTGCAAGCAACACCTTGGTGCCCTGGACATGGTTGCTCACCGAAGCTTTCCTCAGTTCATAAAACGTGTCTTCCATCAGCTCCGAAACCACTGGCATGTGCTTGAGAGGTACGGTAGCTGATGGTAGCGGGCAAGAAGCAAGACGTCCTGGTACAACAAGCGGTCAACTGGATCAGAGAACGTCACCGATTCCTCAGCTGCGTTTGCTTCGCATTCCGTCACGTCACAATGTGACCGTAAGACCGGTGAAGCTGGAAGATTTCGCGTTCAGACGACACACGCACACACTCTCAGGCTTGGCAAGAATTGATGCAATGGACAACTGACGGGACAAGACAATGGAAAAACAGAGGAGCAGGACATGAAACGACGATGAATTTTGGTGTGTAAGCATGCCAGACACCAGGAATTGCATGCTAAAACAAATGGTCCGTTGGGGTAGGGTGCTGCATTGGTGTGACAGACACAAGGAATGGCTCACCAAATGAAATGAGAGAATGATATGTATCCCCCAGCTGCCCGCGCCGGGGAAAAGTGTAGCGGGCCGTGCCAAGAGGCGTGCCCGGTATGAAGAAAAAAACCCAAAACCCTCAAACCTAAACCAGCAGGACCAAGACGTTCTCAAGCACTCATGCAATGGCTCGCCGAACAAATGCTTGCGACAGGGGAAGAGATGATAGAACATTAACGAGACAACGAACAACACGAGGCAACAATCATGAACACAACAATCAGGAGCGAACTCCTGCACTTGCAACGGCTATGTTGCACATGACGGCAGCGCAAGGCCTCACTGCCTCAAGCCTACTTGAGTCGAGACACCCGAACTCTGTGAAGCAAACCCAGCTAGCAGTCGCTCTCTACGGACGTCAACCCTTGCGCCAGTTCCAGAATGATCAAAATGATGGCATCGGAAAGCTTCGGCAAATGATGCTAAAGCACTTGATGATGATTGACACAGTGACGTTGAAGTTTGCTCGTCAGCGTCCCACATCCGCGATCGCAGGCTCCGGCTTTGCCGGCTGTGATCTGGTCGCATGTCGGGAATGCCAGAACAGACACACTCAGGCTTGGCAAGAATTGATGCAATGGACAACTGACGGGACAAGACAATGGAAAAACAGAGGAGCAGCACATGAAACGACGATGAATTTTGGTGTGTAAGCATGCCAGACACCAGGAATTGCATGCTAAAACAAATGGTCCGTTGGGGTAGGGTGCTGCCTTGGTTTGCCAGACACAAGGAATGGCTCACCAAATGAAATGAGAGAGTGATATGTATCCCCCAGCTGCCCGCGCCGGCACCCCAGGGCGGATACAAGCAGGTACTTTTGCACGGGGTTGGGGAGGGGGTCTTCGTTGACCAGGTCCCCGCCCCTCCTAGTCCCCTGCGCAGAATTGTCTTCGGCAAAGAGTAGAGCAGTCGCCATGTCCAGGCGTTTAAAGACACACAAACACATGCGCAAACAAAGTCGCACACTCACTCTCACAAATCTCGAGTACTAGCGCATAAAGCTACCTGTAGACCAGTAGCAGCGAGGCCCGGCATTCCCAAATTGGCGAGTTCAGTCAGGCATACCCAAGTTGAAGGCAAAGTGCCACCTTGGTTAGCAGCTCCCGGAGTGACTCGTAGGCGCCGGCGCCAGGTGCTGCGGCTGCAGAGAGGGCGATGCGAAGAAAGCTCAGGTCCTGAAGCTTGGGCCAATTTCGCGGCTTGGGCCGGGTCGACAGCTTCACATGCAGGGCTTGGTTCGGTCGGGATGATTCACGCAGCCTCGCTCTAGAGCACTACATGGATGGCCATCGGCATACAGGAGAAGCACGCTGATCCTCGCGCAGAGTGGCTTTGACACTTTCGGACTGCCCTACCGGGCCCTAGAGTCTATCCCCAGCGGCCAGGTTGCAAAGAGCCATTGAAGCAGATGCGACATTCCTTCCGGGATACTTTT